GCCGGTGAATCTTCAGGAACGGAAGCTTCATTATGAACAGTGGGTAACGCAGCTGTCCTGTTCTAGTGGTTCGCCCCCCCGACGTACCCTGGAGTATGCCCTAGTCTGGGATTCATTTCTCTCTTTTGTTCACTATGCTTCTAGAGTTCAAAGTTGACAATGGGTTCTGTGCCTTCCCATGTTGGCAACCTCAGGGTTTACATTCAGTCGGTATACGATGCTGGGCTGAGCTGAGCTGAGCTACTGGCACGCTTGAAGGAGCACCAATATTGTGCTTCAGGAAGAGCTGGTGAATCTTCGGGAACAGAACCTTCATTATGAACAGTGGGTAACACAGTTGTCTTGTTCTGGTGTTTCGCCCCCTCGACGTACCCTGGAGTATGCCCTAGTCTGCGATACCCCTCTCTCTTTTGTTCTCTACACTTCTAGACTTCAAAGTTGACAATGGGTTCTGTGCCTTCCCATGTTGGCGACCTCTGGGTTTACATTCGGTCTGTATACGATGCTGGGCTGGGCTGAGCTGAGCTGAGCTACTGGCGCGCTCGAAGGAACACCAGTATTGTGCTTCAGGAAGAGCTGGTGAATCTTCGGGAACGGAACCTTCATTATGAACAGTGGGTAACACAGTTGTCTTGTTCTGGTGGTTCGCCCTCTCGACGTACCCTGGAGTATGCCCTAGTCTGGGATTCCCCTCTCTTTTTTGTTCTCTACGCTTCTAGAGTTCAAAGTTGACAATGGGTTCTGTGCCTTCCCATGTTGGCGACCTCTGGGTTTACATTCGGTCTGTATACGATGCTGGGCTGAGCTGAGCTGAGCTGAGCTACTGGTGCGCTCTAAGGAACACCAGTATTGTGCTTCAGGAAGAGCTGGTGAATCTTCGGAAACGGAACCTTCATTATGAACAGTGGGTAACACAGTTGTCTTGTTCTGGTGGTTCGCCCCCTCGACGTACCCTGGAGTGTGCCCTAGTCTGGGATTCCGCTCTCTCTTTTGTTCTCTACGCTTCTAGACTTCAAAGTTGACAATGGGTTATGTGCCTTCCCATGTTGGCAACCTCTGGGTTTACATTCGGTCTGTATACGATGCTGGGCTGGGCTGAGCTGAGCTGAGCTGAGCTGAGCTACTGGCACGCTCGAAGGAATACCAGTATTGTGCTTCAGGAAGAGCTGGTGAATCTTCGGGAACGGAACCTTCATTATGAACAGTTGGTAACACAGTTGTCTTGTTCTGGTAGTACGCCCCCTCGACATACCCTGGAGTATGCCCTAGTCTGGGATTCCCCTCTCTCTTTTGTTCTCTACGCTTCTAGAGTTCAAAGTTGACAATGGGTTCTGTGCTTTCCCATGTTGGCAACCTCTGGGTTTACATTCGGTCTGTGTACGATGCTGGGCTGGGCTGAGCTGAGCTGAGCTGAGCTGAGCTGAGCTGAGCTACTGGCGCGCTCGAAGGAACACCAGTATTGTACTTCAGGAAGATCTGGTGAATCTTCGGGAACGGAAGCTTCATTATGAACAGTGGGTTACACAGTTGTCTTGTTCTGGTGGTACGCCCCCTCGACGTACCCTGGAGTATGCCCTAGTCTGGGATTCCCCTCTCTCTTTTGTTCTCTACGCTTCTAGACTTCAAAGTTGACAATGGGTTTTGTGCCTTCCCATGTTGGCAACCTCTGGGTTTATATTCGGCCTGTATACGATGCTGGGCTGAGCTGAGCTGAGCTGAGCTACTGGCGCGCTCGAAGGAACACCAGTATTGTGCTTCAGGAAGAGCTGGTGAATCTTCAGGAACGGAAGCTTCATTATGAACAGTGGGTAACACAGTTGTCTTGTTATAGTGGTTCGCCCCCTCGACGTACCCTGGAGTGTGCCCTAGTCTGGGATTCCGCTCTCTCTTTTGTTCTCTACGCTTCTAGACTTCAAAGTTGACAATGGGTTATGTGCCTTCCCATGTTGGCAACCTCTGGGTTTACATTCGGTCTGTATACGATGCTGGGCTGAGCTGAGCTGAGCTACTGGCACGCTCGAAGGAACACCAGTATTGTGCTTCAGGAAGAGCTGGTGAATCTTCAGGAACGGAAGCTGCATTATGAACAGTGGGTAACACAGTTGTCTTGTTCTGGTGGTTCGCCCCCTCGACGTACCCTGGAGTATGCCCTAGTCTGGGATTCCCTTCTCTCTTTTGTTCACTATGCTTCTAGAGTTCAAAGTTGACAATGGGTTCTGTGCCTTCCCATGTTGGCAACCTCAGGGTTTACATTCAGTCGGTATACGATGCTGGGCTGAGCTGAGCTGAGCTACTGGCACGCTTGAAGGAACACCAATATTGTGCTTCAGGAAGAGCTGGTGAATCTTCGGGAACAGAACCTTCATTATGAACAGTGGGTAACACAGTTGTCTTGTTCTGGTGTTTCGCCCCCTCGACGTACCCTGGAGTATGCCCTAGTCTGCGATACCCCTCTCTCTTTTGTTCTCTACACTTCTAGAGTTCAAAGTTGACAATGGGTTCTGTGCCTTCCCATGTTGGCGACCTCTGGGTTTACATTCGGTCTGTATACGATGCTGGGCTGGGCTGAGCTGAGCTGAGCTACTGGCGCGCTCGAAGGAACACCAGTATTGTGCTTCAGGAAGAGCTGGTGAATCTTCGGGAACGGAACCTTCATTATGAACAGTGGGTAACACAGTTGTCTTGTTCTGGTGGTTTGCCCCCTCGACGTACCCTGGAGTATGCCCTAGTCTGGGATTCCCCTCTCTTTTTTGTTCTCTACGCTTCTAGAGTTCAAAGTTGACAATGGGTTCTGTGCCTTCCCATGTTGGCGACCTCTGGGTTTACATTCGGTCTGTATACGATGCTGGGCTGAGCTGAGCTGTGCTGAGCTACTGGCGCGCTCTAAGGAACACGAGTATTGTGCTTCAGGAAGAGCTGGTGAATCTTCGGAAACGGAACCTTCATTATGAACAGTGGGTAACACAGTTGTCTTGTTCTGGTGGTTCGCCCCCTCGACGTACCCTGGAGTATGCCCTAGTCTGGGATTCCCCTCTCTTTTTTGTTCTCTACGCTTCTAGAGTTCAAAGTTGACAATGGGTTCTGTGCCTTCCCATGTTGGCGACCTCTGGGCTTACATTCGGTCTGTATACGATGCTGGGCTGAGCTGAGCTGAGCTGAGCTACTGGCGCGCTCGAGGGAACACCAGTATTGTGCTTCAGGAAGAGCTGGTGAATCTTCGGGAACGGAACCTTCATTATGAACAGTGGGTAACACAGTTGTCTTGTTCTGGTGGTTCGCCCCCTCGACATACCCTGGAGTATGCCCTAGTCTGGGATTCCCCTCTCTTTTTTGTTCTCTACGCTTCTAGAGTTCAAAGTTGACAATGGGTTCTGTGCCTTCCCATGTTGGCGACCTCTGGGCTTACATTCGGTCTGTATACGATGCTGGGCTGAGCTGAGCTGAGCTGAGCTACTGGCGCGCTCTAAGGAACACGAGTATTGTGCTTCAGGAAGAGCTGGTGAATCTTCGGAAATGGAACCTTCATTATGAACAGTGGGTAACACAGTTGTCTTGTTCTGGTGGTTCGCCCCCTCGACATACCCTGGAGTATGCCCTAGTCTGGGATTCCCCTCTCTCTTTTTTTCATTCGGTCTGTATACGATTCTAGGAAGTTCTACTGACAAACCTTTTTCTTTTCGCTGGGTGAAGGACATTCCCACCTGTAGAGTTCGATTGATGTGTTCAGTGATAAATATTGCTATACTGTCATACCATTTAGTTGTGTTTCGGGTTGCCCATCTGCCTTTGTCGCAATAGACGCATACTGGGGTTGGAATTAAAGCGAGGCTGTTTGAACCGTTCTGTGTAAAGAGTGTCAGAAAAGAAAATTTACGCGTTCTTTTTTACCGCAAAAATAAACTATGCATCGCCGAACGCTTATTCTCCGCCCAAAGGTAGAGCTTGATGTCACAACCAGATGCCAAAGTTTCAGCCCGATCCTATAACTTAATCAAAAGTTAAAATTGATTTTCTGAAAATTTCAATGGGAAAATGGAACCCATTTTTGCCTGTTTTCGGTGTCTGGTGCCATAGAGCCCCATGTGTTTGAAAACTTTGTCGGCCGCCATTTTCCCACTGAAAATTTCAGAAAATCACTTATAACTTTTGATTAAGTTATCGGATCGGGCTGAAACTTTGGCATCTGGTTGTGACCTCTAGCGCTACCTTTAGGCGGAGAATGAGCATTCGGCGATGCCTAGTTTATTTTTGCGGTAAAAAAGACAGTGTAAATTCTTTTTTGTGACACCCTGTACATTACTCCTCAAAAGTAGCAAAATACCGTTACTCGTTACTAGACTTCAAAGTAACTTAATATGTTACTTGTTCCTTTTCTAAAAAAAGTAATTAAATACACTACTCGTTACCAAAAAGTAACTAGGTAGAAGTACCGCATTACTAGTAATGCGTTACGTATGCATCTGGGTTTAACACCCAGAACCTGAGCTGTGCCTCTGGGTGTGTGGCCTAATGCAGCTAAGAATTGCTGACATCACTTGGAGCGGTGCTTGAGATATTTTGTAGCTTCGCATCATGCATAGAGCACACCCATTTCTGGCGCTTGACAATTCTAATCAAACCTGGGGGCTGTTTGCTTATTCTAGGTAACTTATAGATATTGATCATAGAATTTTGATAATTTAAAGTTGGTGCAAACAATTTATTGCACAAATAATTTGCCCACGCTAGTTATACATGGGGTTTACCCCCAGTTGCAATGGTTTGTTTGCACGAAACATTTTGAAACGCACCGCTCGTGAAACATTTGAAACCAATGTCAAGCCTACTATATTCTACCATAGTCAGTTTATATATCGTACCTTCAATCCTTAGCTGATGCTGCTAAATTAGGTGCATTTTCAGCATGTCTCTCACCTGTCTGTGCTCCGTGGCATTGTCATCAGTCTGAAAATAAGAAGAGTAACTACGATATTTCCCTTTGTTCATTCTTGTTTGGTCAGGTCTGGACATTGCCTTCCTAAAAGCCGCACTGTTCATGTCGTCCGGGTCCGTGTACAGCCTGCACAAGACTTCCACGAGAGAGGTGGGTACGCCCTTCGGTGCAACGTGCAAACATAGCCTCGCACAATTGACACGCTTCTTCATTAGAAACATGCACCAGATCTCTGGCAGTTATCTCAGAACATTCGGAATTTGTCGAAGCTTCCATGGTAACAGTTGTTTCGAAAAATCAGACAAATCTCATGCTACGTTTCAGAAAAGTGCCTCCTCTTCTGACAAGCCGACCAAGATATTTTCCTTATTTTTCGGGCCCTACAGTGGACTCTCATTACCTCAAACTCTGGGAAGCCACAAATTTTGTTTGAATTATTGAAAGTTTGACTTATCATAAATTCATCTAACTATGATGCTAGATAAAATTTTGTCTTATATGGACAGCTACACATACAAAGCAAATACTTAATGATTTCCTCTGCACAGGTCTAGTAATCATAAGCAGGTATGCCACACATGAAACATTGGTGAAATGTATGAGAGAAGTTTTTTCAACCCTCAAAAATGTTGTCTATCGTGAACTGTTTAGACAGAACACAACACCTCAAAACATAATTAAGCTTGTTCATCCAGTAAAAAAGTTGTCTATTGTAGACTACCAGTACCGTTGAGCACGCTTCTTGCCACGCACCGGCGCAGTGCGGAGAAGCAACATCCACAGAAGTGGATGTTGCTTCTCTGCTGTGCACTGCTGATCGGAAAGAAATGGGGCCGCGAGAACAAAAAGTATGAATTACACGAAAACTCCTTTTAAATTAGGCGACTTATAAATGCATTAAAATGCCTCTGGCACGCCCCCCCCCCCCCCCCCCCAAATTTTTTTTTCATGCTAGGCGTTAAAATGGTGTATCAGGATATCACCAAAGAATTGTTTCACTTTAGAGTTGCGTAGATTTTTTATAAAAAATAGAAATACGAAGTCAATTCAAAGTTTCCGCCAGTGCACCGTGACGTAACAGTGTACCGCAAGAGGTCGGGGCGGTCAGAAGGGAGGCATCGCGGGAAGTCACGTGAGTTGTATCACTCCTCGTGCTTACCGCGACCGCGCGTAATATGGTTTAGTACATATTTTTGTTATTCTCCGCACCTGCGCGAGCAATTTAAGCATACAAGGTTTCTTTATTTGCTTTTCATTGTTTAATGTTGCTGTAACGGTAGAAAAAGAGGAGTCAGTGAACCTAGTAAACAAGTTCTGCTCATGTTCTAGACAAAACACATTCTTTATACTCGACATTTACTTGTACTTGGTACACTCACCAGTTGTTATTCTCTAGACGGTAAACATCTTCAGCCTGGAAAGTATCCAATGATTCGACGACCTCGGTGTCTGAACCTTCAGCTATGCGATTGGGCGTGTCATATGCTACACATCCTAATTTCTGCGAGCGTTCTAATTTTTATTTTCAAAACTCAATAGCTTGTTTTGTGCCCAGTATGGCTCTGTACAATCGGACTGATGGCATGCACTCGTGCACTGGCTTGTACTCGCAACGCTTTCATCATTGACCTCCATCACGTCGATCTACTGACTCTTCGTCCTCAACTTTTACAGCGCGCAAACTAACAAACGGTGCAGTGATAAAAAGCTAGTGGAACTGAAACTTCATTTTCTACAATCGCTCGTGGAGAAGACAAAAAAAAAAAAAAAAAGGAAGTCTTAGGCACGGTCGTGGGGAGTACGAGGAGTGACACTCACGTGACTTCCGGTGAACACAATTTAGTGATGCAAGTCAATGCGTCCCTTCTGACCGCCCCGACACCTTGCGGTACGCTGTTACGTCACAGGGCACTGGCGGGCACTTTGAATTTTTTTAGCGTGTCGGTGGCCCTTTAAAAACATAGCAGGACAATAAAAATTTTGAAATTTGTTGGAATTATCCAGAAGTATGAAATATTTGACTTTGAATTATAGTGAACGTACTGTACATGTTTAAAAGTTGATATTCTATGCTGTGCAGACTCTACAAGAATTTGTTTTTTAAAATTGCTCGTTATCTGGGTGGTTGTGTAAATCACGCTGTTTAATGCTGTGCATTGGCGTCAGCAGTGTGTTGCTTTCGTCCTCAATGCCCCTGCGGGGAGTGTGCGAGGCAGCTGCGCCAAAGCGGATTGCGTGAATGAAGCTTGATCTTGACTGCACAGACACCCACTGCTTGCAGTGGTAAAATCATTAGTAATGTAAATGAATGACTCTGCAGCCTTTCAGAAATCACAGTCACCTCTTAAACAAAGTGTGTGTGCTTATTTTTTTTTTTAAACAAAATGAGTGATAAAAGCATGCCTTGTCATTTTTAACAGGAGTAATACATGGATGAAGTGAATGCCTAGTCAGACTACAGTGATGGGAGTGCTGCAACATTTGCTCCAAATTGCACCATAAATGAAAGTCTGCTACATCTAGCGCGAAAAGGCCATTTTCGTTAAGAATTGCGCCACACCTGCGCCAAGATAGGCCTAAGCAAAGCAAAAAATAAGAATATTTTATTATTTGCCAGTCCTAATATTTAGACAAGCAGAAGGAAAGAGCGAGAATACATTTATTCCACGAGGATGGCTCTATGGCCTAATGTTCGGGAGGGAGAAGGAAGGAAACAAAAATGAAAATGGTAGAAATATGTGCTTCACAGCATCTCTACTCAACGTATATAGTTTGTTTCTTCTTAGCTCAGAGCACAGTTGAAGGCTCTTAACACATACCAAAACTTCAAGTCACGGCGCATTCGCTGCACGATTTAGCCGATAAAGGCATGAACACATACAGAATGATGACGAACGCCTTGATGTCACATTTTTGACGCTGTTTGAGGGGAGTCCCATTGGCTTGTAGCGTCAAGTGCACCGCTGCACTTCGGCTTAAAATGAAGCCAAGTATAGAAATTGCTCATCAACTGTGCTGGCCCCGTCATCGTCTGAATCTTCAGACGACGTCGGCAATGTCAGGAGCCAAAAGTTGCGAGAAAATATTGCAAAATAGAGGGGTGACAGTTGTTGTGATAATACACAGAACAGGGATATTTCACTCCTGATGAGCTCACTTGATTATCGGGTCTGCCACATGCCTCCGTGCCGAGGCTACAGAGCGCCGTGGCACTTGCGCCGCTTGCGTCTACCTTCACTTCTTCACACCAGCAAACATGTGTCTAGCTTCACCGCTTCATTCCAGAGTGCTAGGAGCAGCAGCTGACATAGGGAAGTGTCTGGGACAGCGGTATTGGCGCGTAAATTATGCTGAGTACTACGTATTAGAACTCTATCATCTTTGATTTTGAATGTAAGTTGTCCTCTAATTTTAGAAAGCAGTGCTGAGAAAGGGGGGTAAAAATATGGGGCTATATTTGAATGAATAGGGTCGTCAAGGTAGTTACCGAGCAGCAGTCAGTCGAAAGGGTAACATACTTTGACTCAACTCTGGTTCCAACTTTGCGAAGCATTGTGCAAGGCGCAAAATGTTTTCGTAATATTTGGGGGTGCTTGTTTTTTGCTGTTTATCATATTTGAATCCTGAGTTGCGTAAGTTTATAAAAGGGGTGGGTGGACATTCTAGTGGATATGCTGGTTTTTGCTGGAATTTTACAGAAATGATGTTTACAGGCTAAATGAACTACCGAGTGTAAAAACGAGACGGGGTGAGAGGCTTCATCTCAACTGAAGTGTTGTGCTATGCTTCATTTTTGAACCATTTCTTTAGTGCCATTGTAAATGAAATTTACTCTGACCTCAGCCTTAATTCTAAAAAGAAGGCCGTTTGGTCCTTTTGTGTCTTGTACATTCTTATTCCAAAAGGTAATAAGTAATATGCTTCAGTATCAAGGAGGAATCCTCAATCATTGTACATATATATGAACTCATTGAGCGATGTAGTCACTTTTTAATTTTGTGACTTGCTTATATTGGCATCTGCTTTAAAAGTTTCTGTGGCTGCTCCAGACCAATATTTTGCCTGTTGCAAAACTGCTACAAAAGGTTAAGGGCCACTTCCATTACTGAGGCTATCTACAATGTCTGATAGACTTTTTCTAGCCAAAACGTTACCCTGTGGATTTTATGCCAAGTACGGCCTATAGTTTAGGAAAAAGTAGTATTAGTTTATGACTGTTTATCAAGGTGTAAGTCCGCACTCCCACCCAAGAATTGCGAATGAATGCCTGCCCCCGAGAAATCAAATTAAAAATATGTCGGGTTCATGCAATGTGCCACGGAACCCACTCTAACATTCATGCCACTAGTTAAAATAGAATCAGTTCTAAACTGGCTGGGTTAAAGGGAAATGGTGGCCACGCCTTTAATGGGATTTAGCACACTTTATTTTAAACGCAGCAAAGTTACAAATGTTTAAACATACACAAAACCAAGAATTGTAACAAGCGAGTTCCCAAGGTTTCCTAATTACCGGCATAATCTTGTCTTCTTCATTGCGGACTTCTTCCTTCTCCGCTGGCTGCTCTGAGCGGTGCAAGCCAGCAATCACTAATTGGGCCTTGGGTGGCAGGTTGCACCATTTAGCCGTTTCAAGTGACAGCCTATGCAAGGCACGCGGGTTGCATGCTTCTCCCTGCCTCCGCCACTATCAGCTGGGTAGCACAAGCTGCTGCCTGTTGCGTGTAATCATTCAGGCATGTGCCACTGTTTTTTTAAATTTGTTAGTGATCACTGGCATGCATGTAAACTACCGATGCAGGTGTCTACAAGCTGTAAAGAGGTTGGAATTGTTGTTAACATAAACATTAAAAAGTCATTTTCTTTGTGGATTGATGTGGTCAGATGCAGTATCCACATATCCATTTCTAAACTTGTCAAACTCCTTATGACCTTCATTTAGCTTTTCTCTCCCATTGTCAACGACAAAAAAAAGTTAGGTTGTAAAAGAAATATGTTACACTGAAAATGCTAACGCGGAAGTTGCACAAGAACTTAAAATTGACATCAAGCAAGTGGAAAGTGGCCAATACGCAGCAGAATATGCGTGGAAATTTGATATTTTAGGGGGGGGGGGGGGGGGGGCTGAAATCGATTTTTTTTTTACTGTTTTATTTATTGAACAATTTCGGGGTCCCTTCCGAGTCCGAAAAATGGGTCGGCGACTGTACTGGTGTAATTTTCTCGTTTTCACTGGTGCTTTTTAGCTTTTATACTGTAGGAATCACCTACTGCGTTTTCTTTTTAAGTTTTTATCATTTGGTCTTTTCGGATTGAGAGGGTGTTGTTGAGTTTTGTTTCCAAGATTTTTTTCACTTTGTAAAAAGTTTGCTCATACCTGTTGACGCTGGACAGCAGGTGCAGCGATGACCAAATTGTCTTCGCATTTATGGGGCTTTCTGTTTAAAAAATGTAATAAACTCCTCATTCTTTTTTTTTTTTTTAGTACATCAAGAGGAAAGCTGAAGAGCTGGGTGTTAACTGCCGCGTCATTGCAGAGCTACGGTACAACATCGACCGCATCTACGTGTTCCACAAGAAGGACTCTAAGGATGTAGCTGTTGACTTTGTGCACTTCTCGCCCAAGAGCATCGCCTCAAAGAGCTGACACCCAGGGCCAAGTGCCGGACCAAAAGAGGGACAGTTTTTGAGAAGTTCTTTATTTGCAAAATGACAGTCCACAAGCGTCGTATATACAAAAAAGTATCTTACAAAAAGAATGGGGTTTCCACGCATCGAGGCGTACACGCAGTACCGGTTGGTGGCATTCCAGTCGCAACGCACAACCACGTGCGTTACACGATCACACACAGATGCACAGCCTGAGACCTTGCAACACTATCGGCGAGGGAGTGTGCGTAGAATGTGTACGTACAGGTTATGGAGCGCCTGCCTCTCGCGAAGGGGCTACGGAAAGCAAGCCGACCGCCGTTAATACTGATTCGACTGGTTGTCTCGCCTTTGTGGCACAAATGAACAACCGCTATGTACACCCACAGTCCCTTTGTCCCTCTGGTCTGAATATGCACTTTTCTGGTCATGCTCGGGGAGAGCTCAGAAGCTCCGGGTAACCAAACGTGTGGTCCAGTCGTTTTGATTGGATTAAATCGCCATTTGCTCTGTCATGCCCGCAGAAACCTTTTGCATTCAGCAAGCCTCGAATTTCTGGAAGTGTGCGAATAATTAGTGGCGCTTAACAAAAGAGGTGGTATTACGGCTGGGGTAGGTTTAGTTATGTCCATTCTCCAGTGCCAGTTGTGCAAGCCCTTCCAAAGTGTCTGTCTTGTTTGCAGCTATAGTCACTGACGAGGGAGGAGCTTCTGTTATCCCACCTCCAGTGCAAGCTTCCTACATTTGACAACACTTTGGCATCGCATGCTCCTTGAGTGCGCACTCACAGCCAGAGCGCTGCAACAGATGTGGAGTGCATGCTGAAGGCCGACTATCGAAAGACATGTTCTGCCATTCTCACTTTAAAATGATACTAAGTTCACCTTTGTCTCGAAGACGTTGACTAAGAAAGCAAACGTGTTAGCACCTAATAATTCGAAGAACTATTATGCTTGTTAGGATCAGTTGGAAAGATTCAGGCTATGCGGTATGCCAGTGGCAATGAAATTTAGAATTCCAGTAGAAGTTCAGACCAGAGACACTGGTGACATTGAGGAACCATGGTACGACTGAGCTTGGGTGGCTCATGAACACAAAGTCTGCTGTTGAGGACATGAGAATGACGAGTGTTGGTGCACACATGAGCAAGCACTCCAATAAAGGACAGAAAGCATTTGACCACCATCACAATCAAACTTCATGGACATAAATTACACGAGACAGAATAAACGATACAAAACCGGGAACGGGAACGAGCTGTTCCAATGTCTAACATATGGCCACCAATAGATATTCCAGTAGTTGCCTTGTTCAAGCTACTGAAATATTAACAAAGGTTGTGGTCAGCATGGAATTTGGTTGACAATGCAAGCTACGATACAGACATTTGCGATTTCTTGATGCGTTTCCTAATGATTATGCTTGGGTATACTTTTGCACATTACTCGTCCGAGGTATATGAAACAACAGACATTCAACATAGTCACTCCTACAAATGATGTGCGACTTAAGTTGCATGCAGAAAAAATGAGCATGGCTCTCCAACTGCTTGTTAAATGATCCTATCTGGGCTTCCTGACCTGAGCTAGACTTGCATTCTTGAAATAGTTTGCCCGTATGGCAGCAAAAAGGAGAAAGCGCTATGTACATAAAAGTAAGTTTCACCTTCAGTTTGTTTTCCCCCCTCTTCACTCTGGAAAAAGCTTTGAAAAGTTTATTGTGGGCTCTACACTAAGCAGTTGAGTCTCGGCTGCTACGAGGCTAGTTGTGTTACTAAGCCAGGATTTCAGGACTTCCAACGAACACATCTGGTTTGCTTTTCGGGAAGTCTATGCCAAGTTACTCGTCAAAGAGCGAACTCTGCGGCTCCCCGAACCAATCAGAGCAATGGAGGCAAAGCACATGACAGCCCTTACCAGAGGCAAGAGTGTAACCCATCAAATTGGAGTGGAGGGAAGGAGAGACTCCTCTCTTAACTGGACCTCCTTTTGTGTATCCCAGATGTCGCTCTTCTTTCCCTAGAAGATTAGCCCATCACTAAAAATTCATACAGAAGTGACTTTCGTCTCCTACCCATGGCTTCGACAGCACTTTGTGCAAGTATTGAGCTAGAGTATATAGTCACATGTCTGCCTCCAACACACTGATTGGCTCTGGGACCGTAGCCTTTGCCGTTTGCCAAGTCACCGTGAGACTGAGTATAGCTCACATTGACGAGACTTGCGTGCCGACGTACTCTTTTGGAGATGCCGTAGGAACACTACCTTATTTACACTAGATTCTGAGCACCAATGAGTACATGGAAACATATGCTATAATGAGTCTACCAATATGGGGATTAGAGAGTGTTTTGTCCTGTCCACTCATCCGAGTGCAATGCCTAGCTGGCCTTTTCTTGCATGGTGTGGACCAGATCACCGTCTCTCGGAGCAGCTGCAGTCCTTGGCGACGAGGTTGTTCAGTGTTGTGGTGACAACGCTTTCCTGGTCCAGGTAGGTGACGTTGAAGGGCGTGTAGGTCGCAGATTTGCAGCTGTCCACCTTTAAATAAAGAGCAAGCAAAGATTTTTTATATGTGTGTTTTAGAATAGATTATGAATAAAATATGGCTTCCTCTTGCACTCCCTGCCTTTCCCTCCGACCAAACTATGTCTTGGCCCTCGCCTAAGTGAGGTCCCAAAAAAGCCAATGCCCTACTTCTCATTCTCGTGTCGATCTGCCACCCTGTGTTTGTACCATGGTGAACCCCTCCCCGGTCAAGTGCCGTTGATGGCCCAGTCTATCTGTACCTTATGGTAAAAAAAAACTCGTTTTAAGGGGAGACACTGCCCAGAAAAAAAAATTTCTGCAAAAAAAGCTGATTTTGAAAAATGACATCTTTACATCCACCAACATCTAGAGAGTATTCCCAAAAAGTTTCATTAATTTTCACTGTATAGTTAATTTTTTATAAATTATTTTCTGTCCACCAAAGCTATAGAAAAGGTAGGGTTTGGAGCCCTTTGAACACATTTTTCTCCGTTCCACTTTTTGGTATAAATTCCATTTTAGTCAATCTATCATTTGATAATGGCAAAACAGGGAAAGCTCATTCTTCCCTTTTCCTGACTGAAATTTAATAAGGAGTGCGGCTATGGAACTTTTTTGTCACTTTACGGATGTCTTTTGTAAAAAATGTTGACATTTTGTCGAAGGCACAGAAGACCAAAAAGTTGACCAATTTTGCAGAAGAGAAAATTTATAGAAATGAATTACTTTTTAGAAAAAATTTTCCATAGCCGCACCCTCTAGGCATTCTGCTACATATCTAGCAAATAAAAATCTTTAATATCGCAATAGTTTTCTGACGATAGATTAACTAAACAATGTAGGCGTGTTGCTGATAGAAGTTACTCTTATTTCCTTCTCATTTAACGGACAGACCTGAAATTTTGTTATACACCCTCTAGCATGACCACCAGACTACCCTGTAAATATCATTAATTTTAAGACAAGGGTTCAAAAGTTGACCCCCCTAGGGGGTGTGCCCCCTTAACAGCAAAAAAAAAAAAAATTACAAAATCAGTTAAAACCGACTATTACCAATGTCTGGACATTTTTTCTTCCCTCTCACACTTTAACTCTTAGTTTTTCATGATGTTTGTTCACCGATAATCAGCGTTTTATCATCTGTTTGAAACAAATCACCAAAATTAATATTTGAAAAAGAAATTGTTTACAATTTTTTGTAATGTCGAATTAGAGCGCAGCTCTTGAGGAGGAGAAAGGAAGGGTATGCCCCTCTGTACCCTCTCCTCCTTTCCTGCTCCCCTTGGGCACCGGGAAATAGCTGAATAATCACACTTAGGGGTGGTGCGAACCGGTCAAGGTTTGAGTTCGACCAGGTTCGATGTTTTCTGACTTCTCGTGAAAAGTTTGACTCAGGTTCGACTGCTATGCGCATGCGCGACAGGCTGGCCAGTTGCTTCGGATTGGATGATAACGGTTAAGGGATGAATCAAGGGCAGCACTGATTGGTTATATCAGTTAATACAGAACAAAAAATTAAGTTAACTTATTCAGTGATTAGAATTAGTTTCTTTTAATTGCAACTGTTAATAAAATTAAAGGAACCCTTTGCATAAAAAAAAAAAAAAAAAAATATTTCTCCAAGCCTGGATCGAACCGGTCGAATCTGGTTAAAGGGACACTGACAGGGTATTTATGCTCGCCGAGGTTTTTAGATGTACGTGACATATTAGAACTCAACTGCCCAGAACAGAATTTGCGGCTCGAAATTCGGTTTCTTTCCGCCCGAAAACCGCCGATCAAGAACAGTCTGTCTATGCTGGAAAAAGCGATGAAGAAACTTCATCGTGACGTCGCCGGTGGGAGGAGCCCAATCTCAATCGGCGGCGAACTCAACTGGCAGGGAACTTCATCGCAGCGCGTTGATGACGTCGACGGAGAGTGGCGATTGAGTTGAAACTTCATCGGGATTTGTCCCCAAAATATGTCCCTAGAGGGAAATGCGCAAGGCCGCATCGAAGGGTCTTGTAAAAGCAACATTTTTAACTTCTGAAAATGTATAATGCGGTACAATCTAAATATAATTACCGGTGTCAAGTCTAGGTCGCATGAATCATGTCTTTTTACGTAAGTGAAACAATTTAGATGATCGCAATGCGTGAGCTGCATCGCGATCGTGATGAATCGTCATGGCCGACGGTGGATGTCGCACGAAAAGTGCTCGTGTGTCTGTAGGCTGTCCCTATTCGCACTCCGAGTGCGGATAGTGGTAGATTCTTATCCGCACTCCGAGTGCGGATAATATTGGATTCTTATCCGCACTCCGAGTGCGGATTGCGTTGGATTCTTATCCGCACTCCGAGTGCGTGGGGCGAAGAACTTGGCGTGTGGCGTGGCGCGACTTGGACGCGGGAAACTTTGAACATAGTGACTTACGATGTTTGTGGTGTGACATTGGCATGTTGGCAGCACCGATTTCATAGAAATATTAGTGGTTGTGCGATGTTTGATTGGGAGGAGACCTGTGTTTCAGAATGAATTCAATTTCAAACAAATGCATAATCGTAAACATATAATTAAAACAGCGCGAACGAACACAAGGACAAGTAGGAAAAGAGACACAGCCACAGCGCTGACTCGCGATTTACTCTCTTTTTTGTCTTCTTAAAACACATCAACATAAGAAGACGCGAGTCAGCGCTGTGTTTGTGTCCCTTCTTCTACTTGTCCTTGTGTTCGTTTTCGCTGTTTTGATTATATGTTCACTATGCACCACCGACTAGGTCACCTCTAAACATCACTGCAAATGCATAATCGCTTTTTTTTTTTTTTCGAAATTGATTAGCGCTAGATGGTGTATTCGGGTAGAGACTGAACTGTACTCGCGCCTCGGGGGCTTGAAAAAAAGCATGAACACAGGACGTAAGCAATCCTATTGTTCCTTCAGTATCCTTTTTTTTTTTTTTTTTTTGTTAAACAAAATAATATTATTTGCAAAAAAAAAAAAAAAAAAAACAACGGAAGCTGGTTTAAGATTTGTATTATAACGCGCCTTCGCCACAGTCAGCACATTAACATTGTGTGGTGGATAGGGGCAGTAATGTGGGAACGGTGGGCGGCTAGCAAACAATTTTCAATACACAATTACCCCCCCCCCCCCCCCCCCCCCCCGCCCCAGACCACACACACACGCAGAGATGTTCCAAACTTCCGCTGCCGCCACGCCCAAAACCCGCAAGCTCAGTGCTCGGCACCCTCGGCATATATGTTTAACATCTTCGATCACACAACCACACAAAAACATATTTTAACAACCATTTCGTCGTTTACCCTGAGACTGGGGTTTTTTTTTGAAGAGCAGAAGAAACAGAAAAAACAGAAATATTTTAACAGCCATCACATCTATCGTCGTCTACTTGCAAAAGCGCAAATCTTTCTATTAAAAAAAATTACAGTAACAAAGGGCCGGGGACTTATCAGGCATTCCCTCATCTAGTAGTGTTGAAAGTGTTCAGAAGATTGAGCCGGGGGGGGGGGGGGGGGGGGGGGGGGGGGGCTTCATTTTTTAATAATATTGTTTACTGGAAATGACTGATTTTCCTTAACCC